TATATCAGGTATTTTAGGTACGTTCAGACATTTTCCAAATATACTTAACTCTCAATGTACTGGAAACAGCCTTGCAGAGTGTAGTTATGTCGTGTACCATGGGAACTTCCATCCATCCCATCCTGAGATCTCACAGCCCTATTTCCTTCCTTAGTTCTCGGGTAGGGGAAGGCTTTACCTGGGGTTTCCTTTACTTCCCTCCTACTAAATCCCAGAATGTTGTGCGTAGATTTCCTCTGTGCTCTACTATCCAACCCAATGCCTTCACACAGGTGCCATTAGGTGAAGGAGGAGAAAACTTACCTCCAATCCATCCTAACCTTCTCCCCAGGAGGCCTGGAGCAAGCTAGCACTCCTCTCTAAACGCAAAAACCTCTGTCCCTCAACTGCCCTCCCAGCAATCTCAGTGTTGCTAACAGTCCCAGCTTGGGAATTCAGAAGCCATTTATTATAAACAACATTTAAAAAGATGAGAATGAAAAACAGCTGCACTCACACCTTCAGAGACACCTTCCAGGCCCTCACTTTACCTTGCTGTTAGCATGGAGAGCCAGTCTTGGTTTTCTTGCTTTCATCTAGATTTTTTTTTTTTTAATGTTGCTCACTTTGATTTGTAATTTTATTTTATATTTTATCATTTAAGTATTATTTATTTATCTTCCTCCAATACATAATGGCACACTACGGGTCATTCACACAGAAAAGAGCCTTAGTTTATGACGTGTCTTTGAACAATGATAACAATCAATGCTGTTCTTTGTTAATAAAATTCAATATGAGAAAAAGTAATGAAATGAAACTAAACTGCTCAGTTAGCAAGTGCAATAAATGCCAAAGGATATCTGCTAAGAAGTGACACTGATACTGTAAATATACTGTTATTTTACCTTGTTAGAGTTCTCTTGGGACAAAGAGAAAACTACTCTAAGCTGTAGAGCAATAATGGTTAAGAGTGTGGACTTTGGGGAGAGAGAAACTAAATCTAACTCTCGAAATTTTTTTTAATCTTCAAGTTTCAGTTTCCTCACTGGCTTGGAAGGAGTATTAAATGAGATAATGTGTGTAAAATATTTGTCATAGTTACTAATACAGCACTGATGAAGTGCAAGTAATGACTAACAACATCGATACAGCACTTTTCTCTTAGGGAGCTGACACACATTAAGAAATGTTAAAGCCAAAGGCAATTCATTTCTAGGGAATCAAGAAAAATATTCGTAAAGTTTCACTATTTAAGGGAAAGCTCCCCAGAGTTCAAAAAGGTTCTCCATTAAATGTTTACTTAGTTTCTTCTAGATGAAAAAACTTTTATTTAAATTGTCAAAGGTAATATAATTGTACATGTGTCTAATTGAGGAGATTGATATTATACTTCCTGCCTCACTGCCTATCAAATACTGCCTCCAACCAAAACTTAGGCTGCAATCAAAACTACAATGAGATACCATCTCACCCCGATGTTACTGGCACTAATCAAAAAAACAGAAAATAATAAACGTTGGAGAGGTTGTGGGTAGAATGGAACTCTGATACACTGCTGGTGGGAATGTAAAATGGTACAAACACTGTGGAAAACAGTATGGTGCGTCCTTAAAAAGCGAGATATAGAAATACCATATGACCCAGCAATCCCACTTCTAAATATATACCCTAAAGAAATAAGAGCCTTGACACAAATAGACATATGCACATCCATGTTCATTGCAGCATTATTCACAATAGCAAAAAGATGGAAACAACCTAACTGTCCATCAACAGCTGAACGGATTTACAAACTATGGTACATACACACAATGGAATACTACATAATGATAAAGAATAATGACGAATCCATGAAACCTCTCACAACAAGGATAAACTTGAAGGGCATTATGCTGAGGGAAATAAGTCAATCGCAAAAGGACAAGTATTATATGCGACCACTATTAAAAGGAAACAAAATGAGACTGCATTGCAGGAGTCATATTTTAACGTGGGCCACTTTACACAGAATAGTATTTTTCCAGTGAAAGGTGCTGATCTAGAGGACATAGTCAGAAATACTGACAGTTCCTTTTGCTTCCTGGGTCCATTTTATTATTATTATTAGAATTATTTGTTTACTTGGCTAAATCATAATGAACTGCTGTTAAATTTCAGCACAGGAGGCAAGTGAACACGTGAGCAGGATGACGAGGGAAAAAAAAAATTCCACTGCAACCAGGATACCTTTGTTCAAAGGCATAACTTGATTAAATTCACATCCGTGGTCATTTGTTGAGTTCTCAGAACAATAGTAAATTTAGTTACTGGGAGCAACAAAAAGCCATTGTTTCTTTTCATTATTTCTCTTCCTTGTTGGAAGTTTATACATCAATTATCTCAGAGTCCACATACAGGATAAAAGTATAATGTTAATACATGCACATCAAAAACAAAAATACATATACATCCAATTAGTGTTAACATTTAACCCATGTATACGCAGCTTTAAACTTCAGAAATTGTGTTTATGAACAGAAATGCAAAGCTTGATGAAAACATGTAGCCTGTCTGTCTCTGACTACAGTTCTCTCTTGGAACAAACTGCAATACAGAGTGGGTTACCCAAAAAAAAAAAAAAAAAAAAAAAAAAACCAAACTCACTGCCATCAAGTCGATTCAAACTCACAGCAACCCTACAGGACAGACTAGAACTGCCCCCCATAGGGTTTCCAGCACTGTAAATCTTTACCGAAGCAGACAGCCACATCTTTCTCCCGCGAAGTGGCTGGTGGGTTAGAACCACCGACCTTTCAGTTAGCAGCCAAAAGCTTTAACCACAGAGCCACCAGGGCTCCTAGTGGATTGTCAGTGGCTGGAATTTCACAAACTGGATTTGAAATCCCTTCCTTTTAGGATTCTGACAGTTACCACATGACTTGCTGTTGACAAAAGACAGAAGGACTTTGGAGATGGGGTAATCAGCTCTAAATGTGACCCATCTCCACTAGAGAACTCCTTCACTGGAGCGTGATCGTTCCCCTATTCTCCCCTGCACACTTTCTAAGTTCCTCAAGGTTAGACTTAAAGGGAGCTTCCTCTTTATTTTACCAAGATGAGCAGTGCCTGGTACACACTGGAGCTCAACAAAGACTAAATGAATACATGGAGGATAATCAATCTCCCTAGCCTCTGACAAAGTAAAAACAAAAACCAGTTGCTGTCGAGTCAACTGCAACTCCTGGCAACCCATGTGGGTGTGTCAGAACAGAACCGTACTCCATAGAGTTTCCAATGGCTGATTTTTTGGGAAGTATGTTGCCAGGCCTTTCTTCCAAGGTGCCTCTGGATAGACTTGAACCTCCAACCTCTTGGTTATCAGCCTAGCATGTTAACCATTTGCACCATCCAGGGATGTAAATTCTAATCTTCAGCCATCTCATGGTTGTCTAAAGAACAGCCTCACCCCTCTCTACGCACTTGCTCACAGTTCCACATTTCCTCATCCCCAACACACAATCAAGTTTTACTTTTACAAGAGCCATACCACTACTTTTTCGTTTGTTGAGCAACATGGATTCACCTTCCCTAACATGCAGGGAAGAACGTACCTAACGCACACAGGGCCTCGCACTACCTGCCAGGATGTTACAGGTGTATAAAGAGTGCAGCACGTTTGCATCTTTTTTTTTTTTTTTTCTTTAAGGTTTAGCAGTCTGCTGTTTTGGCTGAATGTTTTTAGTCTGGTTTCAGTGTTTTGACGTGCATGAGCAAAACCCTAAGATTTTCTCACTTGGTGTGGGAATCTCTCTCTTCTATGATGAAATGTGTCTGAGTGCACTGCCGGAATTCTTCTGTGTTCTTTACAGTTGTCAACACGTTAGCATCAATGTTAATAACTTGATTAAAAAAACTCCCAATGTCCCCATCATTGATTTAGTTAGATGGCAGGGCCATGAAGACTGCTGCTTTATGCAACGTATTGATCAAGTACATTTTTGGGAACTTTGTATGACAGGAGAAAGGATGAGAAGAGGGATCGCTGAGGGCAATTTTTTTTCTCATTCTCTCATGTAACCTCCAGAGGCCTTTCTACCAATGTAGTAGCACTAATTATTTTGAAGGAACATAAAAACTGGTTTGGGATATAGGCACTTCAGTCCATGGTGTTCCTATTAGTGAAATATCTAAATAAGTGCCTGAATTATCATGAAAAAGAATCCTTTTTTTAACAACAAAAGAAACCTGTTAAAATATCAGATATATACGAAAAAGTTATCACAAGAATATAAGGTTTGGAGGGAGGAACCTTATCAATTTTAATTACCACATACAGATGTTTAATTAACCTTTATTAAATGATAAGTGAATTCTCAATTACCTGTAACAATGGTACGTAGGCTGGTGTGGAAATATAATAACAACAGCTTGCACAAACTGAGGACCTCCTATGTAAAATGAAGATAACAGTGCCTGCCTCATTGGGTGGTTGTATGAAATAAATGGGCTAACCACGAAAAGCTTTTAGCCCAGGGGCTGATACATAATAACTCCTCAGTGCTAACTGCTGTTGTTATGAGCATCAACATCATTATTATTTAGTATTCATTATACATTTATGATCTTTAATCCTTAAAACACCCCTCCAAGGCTGATATGATGGTCCTGATTTTGATGATGAAACTATGAAGGATAAGGAGGCCAAGGAACTGGCTCACAGTTGTAAAGCTGTAAATAAATAATGAGAATGGGACCCAACTACCAAGGGATGCTGATTAAAAGTAGAGACCTTTTTTCTAGAAATTAACTCCTGTCCTGATGGACTGGGTACCCTAAGGGCAGATCAGACAGCAAAAGCAAAGAAGCATCCTAAAAAGGGCAAGGGCTTTGCAACCAGACTTGACTGGCTTCAGATCCAGCTGTGTGACCTTCAACAGATCATGTGATTGTCCCAAGACTCAGTTTCCTAATTTGTCAAACTGGGATAATCATGCCAACCTTGCAGGAATAGCAGTAAGCATTAGACATAAAATACATACTTGGTCGGTCCTTGGCACACACTGGGTGCTCCATAGGTGTTTGTAGCAGCATCATCTTGTCACCCTGAATCACTTTTACAAACCCTGGTAATAGAGAGAAATAACCCTTCCCAGAATTTTAATTCTGAACATTTTGTCAAAGATTACTACATCTCAAAAGATAAAATTTTCCCCCAAGAGTCAAAAATCTTCCATTACACAGAATTATTCTTTTATCTTGTATAATTTTATACATATACATCTAAATATATCTTCTGCCTCTACACATATAAAGAAAAAAGATGATGCATGCTCATATTCTCTATATAGTCATATTCACACGCATTTTGGCACTTCCGAGGGGGAGGGGAAGAAGGAAAGAGTGTAATGACAATTAAACCAAAATACAAATGAATAGGAAATTCTCAAAGAACAAAAAATATTCACTTCCCTAGAGCAATGTCAAGGAGCCCTGGTGGCAGAGCAGTTTAGCACTCAGCTGCTAACCCAAAGGTTAGAGGTTCTAATCCATCAGCCATTCTGCAGGAGAAAGATGTGGTAGTCTGCTTCCATAAAGATAAAAAACCCATTGCCTTTGAGTCAATTCTGACTCATAGCGACCCTACAGCTTAGGAAACCCTATGGGGCAGTTCTACTCTGTCCTATAGGGTTGCTATGAGTCACAGTCAACTCAGCAGACACAACAACAGAGCAATGTCATGCTGCAAAGTAAATGATGAAGGGTCTCTACCTATAAACCATGTGTTGGTGTGACCCATCCACACAAGAAAAAAGGATTAAAAAGGAACATATACCCAAAAGGGGCCACGGTTAAGCTTTTTCTTTAAATCTAATAATCAGATAAAGAGTCAAATCTATAAAACAACATGTGGGAAAATTCACTCTATTATTTCACAAAAAGAACCTACCCCACCTCAAAAAGGCGCATTTACAAACACACTCTAAACCAGGCATTAGGTGATTTTCAACCCCCAACCAAAGCAATCAAATAGAGATTAACATACCTATCAGCTAAAACCAGGCTGTCAAAATGAAAGCTTTAAATTACACGTCCTCACCAAAAAGGATTTAAAAGATTTTTCTCATAAATTATAAAAAGCATCACACAGTCTTTAATAAAACAGTGATGTTTAATTTTGCTTATGTGCTAAAAGGCATTTTTAAGCAGATTAAAACACAGAATTCAAGACCACCAGGAGAAACTTTCCAGAGTGAAACAAGGCCATTTGGTTGTCTTTTCCAAAGGCAAATCTGCTACTGTTCATCTTTCTTTAACCCAACAAAAAATTCCCACAAGATGACAGTCAAAACAACATTTTGGTAAACAGGACCTCAAATGCTGCCTCTCAAATCAGATTATATTTTAAGTGATAGGAAACCAAACTAAGACAGCATTTTAAGAGCATGGTTCTCATTTTAAAAAAGTAACAGGGAAGCTGAGGGACACAGGCACCCAATTTAAGGACTCAGCAATTCAAAGGTCATTGAAACATTCATCCCACTGGCCACTGCTTTGAAAGAGCACCAGACTGGGGTTCAGGAGGGAGGAGAACAAGAAAAAAGGGATACTTGATAGTGACTCTCAGTAGGAAAACAAGGCAGCTTAGAGAACTCTGTCAGAGGAATATTAACAATCCTTCATTTTTGAAATACTGGACCTCCAAACACATAATAAAATCTGGTTGGATCAGATATTCTTTCCAATATCCTCAGAGAAGATACTGCTGAGATTAAAAACTATTGACATAGGGGAATGAGCTCTTCCAACAGTATCAGGTTCCAGGTGTATTTTTCAGAACATCACATAAGAGGACATGCCCAGGGACCTTCATTACACAAACAGGATGAGCTAGTCCACAGTAATTTGAAGTAAATGTCCAGCAGAACAGGCAAGACGATATCTCATGATTCACGCATTGGTATTTCAGAATTTACAACTGAGACTAGACATAAGTTTTCCCAATTAACACTCCATATAGGAAAAGGGAGGTAACTTCCTAGGGAAGTATTTAACGACATAAATAAACTGCTTTTTAAGCACATCATAAGTATATACTTTCTAAGAAAAAAGTTCCTAGATCAAGGATTACTGTTGTTCTTGTTAGCTGCCATTGAGTCACGGTGGCAACTCATGGTGACCCCACACACAATCGAACTAAACGCTGCCCGGTCCTGTACCATCCCTGGTATGGGTTGCACATCAGACTGTTGTGATCCACACAGTTTTCACTGGCTTATTTTCAGAAGTAGATAGCCAGACCTTTCTTATTGGTCCTTCTTGGTCTGGAATATCTGCTGAAACCTGTTCAGCATCATAGCAACATGTAAACATTCACTGACTTACTGGTAGTATTTGCATATGAGATTCACTGGCCAGGAATCAAACTTGAGTCTCCAGCATGGAAGATGAGAATTCTACCTCTGAGCCACCAATGCCCTTAGAGATCAAGGACTATGTTTTGGTAATTAGGGTTTTTGTTTTGTTTTTTTTAAGGCAAGTGCCCTCTTAAATAGGTAGTTGGATACTTACCTAAGAGTAATGCTACATAGATCCAACTCCTGTTGCCTGCCATATCTACAGCCCCTTTAGAAGCAGGAGTTTTTGATGTTAAGTACTATCCTCTCTGGCCTCAGCTGGTTGGGCCAAGGAGCACACCTGAGCTTAGGGTAGTTGGTTTATAGGCTGGGAGGTGTCCCATGAAGGAACCCAAATCAATCTTTGGGATTAAAATTGGAAAATAAGGAGAGACTGCAGCAATTAAGCAGCAAAGGACTGCGCAATGTTTTGTTCTGTTACACATAAGGTCGCCATGTTGGAGCTGACGCAACAGCAACTAACAGCAACAGAAATTTCTGCTGTTTTGAGGTCTTGTCCATTTCCTGGGTCCGTGAGACCTCATTTTACTGCTATTCCTGAAGACCTGGATGCTCAGCTTTTCCTGGGATGCTGTGAAACCTGGGATCTATCTTTGTAAAAATGCCCCATGACTTGAGGTAATTTTAGTGAGATCCTGTTCCTTGTAACCAAAAGGGTATAATAATCTATATTCTATTTTATAGTCTAGATTTCTCACCAATTCAGAAAATCTTTTTATAAATTTGTTCCTATTAGTAAAGCTTCAGGCCATTTCATTTTTTTAGCCCATAAAATGATCCACATTTCATTCCCTAAACTCAGATAATAATTTTTCTATTTCCCAATCTATCACCATATCACCATCCCATTTCATCCACCATTTTCTCCTACCTAACTTAGATATTTTATTCAGGTCTAGGTCAATTAGGGGATTAGACAAGATGCTTTCTCATTCTAACTCTCTTCTAGCTTTAATGGTAGTAAGGGGAGTAATTAAGCAGGTATTTGATTAGAATAAAAACTGGAGGAAAATTTCATAGTATCCATCAATATATAAATGCAATACGTTATGCCCCACAATCCCACTTCTGGATTTCCATCTTACAGAAATATTTAACAACTAGAAACAATCAATAAGTTTATTAACAGACAACTGATTAAATAAATTAAGGTACATCCATGCAGTTAATATGAACCCAGAATAGAAATAAGATGGTATATTTTAAAATGAGGTAGAAAACCAAAACCCAAACCCATCGCCTAGTCGATTCCAAGTCATAGCAACCCTATAGGACAGAATAGAACTGCCCCATAGCGTTTCCAAGATAGATCCACAAGAAATGATCTAGAATGATAGCTGTGAATATTTGTAATAGTATATTTTACTGTAAGTATATACAGAAAATATACATGTTGCAGAATAATATGTATAGTTCTCACATTACATGTATAATTATTATATTTTGGAAAAACCTATGTGTTCATGTACATATTTATGTATGTATATACATAGAAAACATCTAGAAGGATAAACACTAAACTGGTGATAGAAGGTATCTCTGGGGAATGGAAATTGAGGGTTACTTTCACTTGTTTACTTGATACACAAGTATTACACTTTTGTAATTTAAAAGCTTTTTTAAATAAAGACTAGTCATGCCAGTAACTGTATCATTGTTTTGTTTAAAACATTATGAAATCTTTGAAATTTAAAAGAGCAAAATATTCAATATCCAGATCAAACTGAATTCCTAGAGATTCACTTCTCCCACATACCCACGAAATCAGAGAGTTCTACAAAAAGATATTATTTAACCCATCTAGAAATTTCTCCCACTGCCAGCTCCAGGTTTGATAATGAAAGGTCAGCGTGAAATCTGAAAGTCATGACTCTGTTCAGACGCACCTGCAGCCAATAAGAAAGCTACTTATGCTTAACTTCCCCCAATCACAACACTTTCTGTAAAATGATTTCACTTCCAATCACAAAGGACCAAATATCAGAATAAAGTGATCCAACAGTATATAGAGGACAAAAAACAAAGTATAATAGATACTTGTAAAAAATATTACATAAACATAAATGTTCATCTCAGATTCTAAATGTATTCAGTGGCTCTAAAAACATTTAAGTATTAAAAAGAAATGCACATATACACTGTCCGGTAGCATAAAATCTGCTTGACTCTCAGTGTGTAGCAAGTCCCTGAGAAACAAATCACTTTCACCAAGCAGATGATCATCTAAGATCAGTTTATTTTTCTTGCTCTAAACAAATTAGATTTTTAAAGTACTGGGAATGCTAAAAAGTAGAAATTTCCCAAAATATCAATTTGCATTTTGTTTTAAAAGTCCAATTCCATTTCAACATATACTCCTGTACCAGCATTCAAACAGTGGTTATCCCTGGGTGATAGGGTAACTGATGATTTTTTTTTTCCTTTGTATTTATCCAAATTTTCTACAATGACCTTCTTCTATTATTACCTGTCGAATATTGGGGAAGTTTAAAACAAATAAGCTTGGAATGTTTTATAACCTCAAAGGTCTAGGTAACATCCTTTCCTCAGTCCTTCCTTATGTGAGAAAGGGGTGTTGGCCAACCACAGGTGGGCCACTCCATGATTCTAATGCCATGACCAGGTCTGTAATAAACAGCAAGTCACTTAGCATTTATATCTGTAAATTTATAAAGATAA